CGTGACAGCTGTGAGTAAGATGCATAATCAAATTGCCAGTTGGGACACAAAGTTTGAGACTGGAACCAGGACTGCTTTACTGCAGCCTTTCTCACCTGTTGTAATTGCCTCAGATGACAATGAAATAATTAGGTATTTGTCAAATACAAGCCTCTATGTTACTCCAGATTTTTTTAAATGTTATTCTTTCTTATAATATTTAAATTTTTCATGTTGAATATGTTAGAGTGTGGAATTACGAGGAAGCAACTTTGCTCAACAGTTTCAATAACCACGATTACCCTGATAAAGGAATTTCCAAGTTGTGCCTCGTAAACGAACTTGACGAGAACTTGCTTCTTGTTGCATCAAGTAAATCTCTTATCTGGAATTGGAAGCATTCACTTACAGATTTTCTATTTATCTTGGTGGAGCTCAAACTTACTCTGCATGTGTTAATTCAGATGATGGAAATATCCGGATTTGGAAAGACTGCACTTCGAAAGGACAACAGAAATTAGTTACTGCTTTTGCTTCAATTCGGGGTCACAGACCTGGGCTCCGAAGTGTTAAGGCTGTGGTGGATTGGCAACAACAGTCTGGATATCTTGTATGTTAATCACATTAACTTAAAATTCTTGTATTTTTGTGTTTTAATATTTTAGGATAATTCCTTAAATACAACTTCTATTATTGCATTCATAATTTTTACTCTGCCTTGCGTAGTTCTCGACTGGAGAAATATCATCTATCATGGCGTGGGATTTGGACAAAGAGCAGCTTGTCAATAGCATTCCCTTGGCACCAGAATCAAGCATCTCTGCTCTGGTGGGTTTTACGCAGTTATATAATTGGGTTGATTAGTGTGCTCCACTGAGAAATTTGTTCGACGTTTTCATTTGGTATAGTTTTGTCATGTTCCTCTCATATGATCTTCATTCTTAAACTTATTTAGACATACCAAAAGAAATGAGGCCTTTTGATTTCATGCAGTAAATTCGATGATTAGTTCACTTATCATTTGATGGTTGCTCATGAATAGATTATTAACTAATATAAATGAATTACACAGGCTGCTTCTCAAGTTCATGGAGGTCAGTTTGCTGCTGGCTTTGTGGATGGTTATGTCAGATTATATGATATTCGCACTCCCGAGATGTAAGCATCTCATTTTCCTTTTCTAGTATATAATTTCTACTTTTGTTTCTGATCTTTGATAATCCACCTGAACATTAAAAGATCTGCTTGATCATGCGTTCACTTCACATGTACCTTTCGAATGGTCATGTGAATGAAACACGCCATTCATATTTAATTTTCGGTGATCTTTAAGCTTCAGTTTCTAGCTTTCTCTGCTTTGCTTTATCTTTTTCCAAACTAGTTAATTAGTAAAAACGACTTACGAGGTATGTTTTAAGACTTTAAATTCAGCCGCGATTTTTTTTTGTAATCTTCGGTTCTTAAATTTACCTTGTCTATTTAGGCTTGTTAGCGAAACCAGGCCTCACCATCAACCAGGCGAAAGAGTTGTAGGAATTGCCTTCCAACCTGGTCTTCAACCAGCAAAGGTGACCCTCTCTCTCTCTCTCTCTCTCTCTCTCTCTCTCTCTCTCTCTCTCTCTCTCTCTCTCTCACCAACGTTATTATACTGATTACTGAGTGCAATTTTTAAAGTGCAAACCGACATATTATATAAGTTTGAAGATAGTAGGATGTTTCTCACTGCTTTATATTCCAATTTTTCTCAGGTCGTAAGTGCTTCCCAGGCCGGAAATATCCAGTTTCTGGACATGAGATTCGCCAAAGAGAAATACCTCACGATAGATGCTCACCGGGGGTCCCTCACTGCCTTAACTGTCCACCGCCATGCGCCCATCATAGCTAGCGGCTCAGCAAAACAGATCATAAAGATCTTCAACTTGGAGGGGGACCCACTCGGCACAATTCGGTACTACCCAACTTTCATGGCCCAGAAAATCGGCTCTGTTAGCTGTCTCACTTTCCATCCCTATCAAGTTATTCTGGCAGCTGGTTCTGCCGATGCCTGTGTTTCCATATATGCTGACGAGATTTCTCCACCAAGATGAAATCTCGTCAAAACTCGAAGATTTCCAAA